ATCCAATGCTTTGTGTGTGTTGCAGGAACACACTCCGAAATTTGCTTGACTATAAAGAATGAATTTAGCATATAAAATTGAACCTTTTGTTTCGAAATAGATATATGTAATGGTTATCAGAAGTTAGTTTTGACAATTTTTATAATTTGACCTTGCATTTATGAATTATCTAAAACAAATGTAGTAATTTTGTACAGTAGAATATATCAGAATATTTTTTAATTTAAATGGATCTTGATTTACCTATTCATAATGCATCTTTTAAGTTCATTATAATATATTTGGCTAACGAGGTGATTTTTAGTTTCAATTTTTTATCTATGCATTTCTGTATCATCATCATGTGTGCTTTCTGAAATTCTGAGTATTGGGTACGGGGTACCTACAACTAGGTATGGTCAATGACACATTAGTCGCCACTCGGCATTCGCCACTCAATAGATGCTGCACCTGACTTGCCGATTGTCCATAGATAACAGAATAATAACTGGTCAGGTCAGAACTACAACTTGTAGGGTTTCAATTGCCATTTATTAACTATTACTATGAACCTTTTTTTAATCTTGTCAAAAAATTGTATTCCAATCATGATATAAAATTGATAATTTTTTGGAAAGCCGGCAACACAAGTGCTGTGGTGAGTGGTGACTTGAGTGGCATTGAGTAGTGTCAATGGCTGATATTTCATATTATTTTCATATTTGTAATTGTTGCAATGATTTCAATCTTAAATATCAGACTTATACTTGTTAGTTATAAAGTTTAGCTCTATTGAGGTTCTAAAAATATAACGGGAAGTGATATAATGTTTCATTTTAATTTTTTTCATAAACTTTCTTGACAATAATTGTCGTCAATGCCAATACTGAGACCAGTACCAGTAGTTTGCCCTGATTGCCTTGCATTGATAATTCCTGGAATTTTTTAATCTTATCCCCATCCTATCTTTTTTATTATGCTTTATCTCTTAATGAAGTTTAGATAATAATAATAATATGAATTATAATTAGAAAAAATAGCCATGTTATAGAATTGCACATTATGCCATTGGTCTGGTCACAAATTTAGAACATTACAGAATTTTCACAGTTTGTGGCTGGCAAGTCAGTTGTCAATGCTCCAATATCCACTAAGCCTTTGCTGAATTCAACCAGAATTTGATACAGCTGGCTGCTGGTATTGAACCCTCAATTCTCACTTGCTGCTCCAGTTCTGGTCCCTGAACTTTAACCACAAAACCATTCCTATCTATGTAGCTTAAAGCAAGTTAAGAAATCATACATTTACTACCTCTAAAAATTAAAAAAATCCCTGAAAAAGTGAGATTTTGGAAAAGTACCTCTGCTAAGGTCTGTAGGAAAAAAAATATATATGCCCTCTTGAAAAATTTTGCTTTCATAAAAGTTGCACATATGTGTTGGCTTCAAAACTTGATTGTTGGAATAAGCAGATCTCGTTTAAAAAATAAATTACGGCCATTTCCGCATGATGGGGTAAAAAGGGACACCCCTAAAAACACATTTACAGTAGAACCTTGGTTAGTGAAGGCTCCCGTTAACAAAAAAAATCAATTAACAACAATGAATTTTGATTACATTAAACTTGCTCAGTGAAAAAAATTCTACATAACCATAAAATAATGCATCATTCATCATTGGTCATCACAAAATTTTGCGTAGAATGTCATAGATAGAATTGTTCACTGGGCAACATAGAATAAAAAGTAATTAACCCAATCGATGATTTAAAAAAAATGTGATGGTTGTCACTAAAATATTCCTCTCTGTTTCAGGTATGTTTTTTTACAATTTTTTTTGTCATAGTGTATTCACTTGACACAATTCAAATGCTGCAAAATTACAAGCTGTCCTGTAAGCTTAGCTACAGAAGAAATGCTACATGGCTGCTGATGTGAAGCTTGAAGTGGACAAGGTTGTTGTCAATGCTCAATGGCATGCCCATGGATTTTGGTAATATCACCTCAATAATATGGTAATGGGTGGATAAAGTAATATATTAATAAAGGAAAAACATGTAAGAATCACAGAAAATGTCATTTATTCTACATTTAATGATCTACATTACCTACAAAGGAAGAGGAGGACTTCAGAGTACTGTTAGTATTGGATGAGTACACTCTGCATGCTTCAAATGTTTTAAAATTGAGTTTTATTTCAAGTTTCCCTTATTGATCCATTCCCAGGGTTAGTTTAGGAGGCTTTTATTTGCGTCTGACACCTTATGAATAACATGGAATTTTTTCAGAGATGCCATTTGATAGCCCTTGCAAAGACTTTTGAAATGAGCCCAAACTTGTTTATTAGATTATGTTTCATGTTAAGAAGTTATTAACAAAAAATGTTTAAAACCGTCATTTATTACCTCATATGACGGTACTGCAGGGTGCAGAGGGTGCAAGCAGCGTTGCCAATATATGGATTTTTAGTCCAAAGCACTGCCAGCCATTTCCAAGATCCGTTGCTGGGTAATTTTCAATGAGAAAATGCTGCTAACAACTTTGATAGTAAATCCCTTACACCAGGCATGGAATATATCTATTTGGCAAGCGGTGACTGGATTTTTTGAGCCGTGGCTTCATGGGTTTGCCAGCCATGATTCCATTTTCTGGAGCTGTGAATTCCATATCTTGGCCGTGAAAAGCCATTTATGACCCGCAAACTTGTTATTTACAAAGTCCCATGCATGTTTCCCTGTTTGATGGTATAGTATGGTATAGTATGTTATCAATGCATTGAAGAATAGGCCTATTGCCAATTCTTGTACTTTTTTGACTAGTTCACAGATCTAAATGACTGGTTTTTTGATCAAATCTTTTCAACAGACAGTGGTTTTAAAATCATTTCTAGACTTTCACTTGTTCTCTAGGGTACTAGGCATTTCAAGACTAAACACATACTCCTGCATGGCTTTGTCTAGTCTGTTTTTGAACACGTTCCTAATTGGAGCAATAACAATATCTTCAGGGTTGGTGATTCAAAGTGAGAAAAATTGTTGATGCATGGATGAGTTGCAACATCAATGTGTGATTGTGATACTTCATTTTTCTATATTACAGATATAGTAACTTATCTACAATACTGTATGTAATAATATAAATAGATATTGTTCATGTTTTTCAAGATATTTGTCAGTTGTTTGCAATTAACATAAAGTTTTAGATATAAAGTCATATATCCTGTAACTAAGGTAAATATCTAGTTTTCAGGCCCGTGTCCGTAGTTAGGTTCAATTTGGTGCTGGGATGGGATGCAAATTAATTCCCTTAAAGACACTGATTGGCGCAGAGATGGCAATGTATAATAGTGGTAGACACAGGTGTGAAAAATATCTACTGTGCAAACTTTGTCTGGTGATTCCTCATAATTTTTTGGGAACCTAAATATTGGCATTAAATGAATTGTCAAGCTTTTTTCTGATTGTTAATAAAACTTATTTTCTGAGCTTCAAATTTACTTGAAATGTGTCTTTAAAGCCAAAATATTATACTAAAAGTTTCACATTTTCAATCTTTGTAGACAGTGGACACATAAAGTGTTCTTCTCAATAGATAGTTATTCAAAATCAACCTTGTTAATGCTGATAATTTCTGGCATCTACATAGATACATATAGGCTGTCAATTAATTGATGGAATGATTGTGTATCTATGCTTTTTTCCACTCAGCTCATTCAAATGATGAAGTAAAATAGACAGTGGTAGCTAATCTATGCAATGGGGACAACTCACAGCAATTGAGCTTCCTTACAATCCATTATAAGAAAGATGGGCTTTATGTGTAGTTGTTAATTTTTCCCCAAATGTACTGTGACAATAGAAATAATTCCAGCTTCATAACTTGGCAAATCCTTGTCAACAGCCAAAATATATAGCAGGCTTCATTTTTTGGCATCCATTGTAAAATTCTAAGGAGGTTGTAATGAAGTGATACATAATAGTTCAAAGTTTCCCTCAGAACTATGTACAAGAGTTGTTACTAAAAACTCTCACTATTTCAATTTGAGATTTTTTCTGACCTTTCTTTTTCTTTTTCAGGGCATTTATGAATGTGCTGGCAGTCTTCTCTGTAGTGTTGTCTCTGCACTTGAAATGTCATGGAAGAGGTGATGTTTTACAATGGATCTGAGGGTGAAGAGCTCACTCTAATGGATACGGAGTAAGTTGATTTGCTTTTGTTTCAAATTTCTCAAGATTTTCATACTGGTAGCATAACAAGTTTTCTACAAAACTGCTTCTATTTGCTCTCCAAGTTTAGAGAATTTCTCAGTTTCTACATTTTTTCATCCATACCTATATATATAGGTATATGTGTGGTTGGGATATTTTCATATGAACTACATAATATGACACTAAATGCTATACTTTTTATACTGGAGTTTTTTTTTTTTGGCTTGAATTTATTTTTTGTTTGAATGACTTCTTCTGCAATAGTTTCTTTTTTAATATTGTTCACTTTACTGTTTGCTCTAATGTTTTTTTTTCTTCTTAATGAGACATTCATTGACAAAAATGTCAGTGTATACACTATGTTGATGATGGGATGTCAGAAAGTCATATGGATGTATGTGTACAGGTGACAACCCACTGAGGAGTTGAATTTTGTTTATTTCAGTGGTGGCATCATGGTGGAGCAGGGGGCTCTCACCTACACCATCCCTGACCAACAGCAGCAGCAGCTGCAGATCCAAGGGCAAGTACAGCAAGGACACACACAGTCAACTCCACATCATCAGCAGCAGCAGCAGCAACAACAAGGACAAATTCATCTACATCAACAACAGAAGGAGCAACAACAGCAGCAGCAACAACAACAACAGCACCAACAGCAGCAGCAACAACAGCAGCAGCAACAACAACAACAACATCAGCAACAGCATCAGCAGCAACAACAACAACAACAACAGCAGCAGCAGCAACAACAACAACAGCAGCAGCAACAACAACAACAGCAGCAGCAGCACCAGCAACAACAACAGCAGCAACATCAACTTCAGCAGCAGCAAGCTCAACAGCGACAACAGCAGGCCATTCAGCAAGCTCAGCATCAACAGCAATTGCATCCACACCAAGTGCAACAACATCAACTAATGCACCAGCAGCAAGCAACTCTCTACAGCCACAACAACCAGCAACAGCAGCAACAATATGTGTTACAACACCAAGCTACTCCTGTGGTTGTGCAGCAGCAGGTAACTTAATCTCTGTATGGCACATAACTTTTTTTGCTTCTTGTATTCGTGTTCAATTTGTCTCTTCTTAGTACTAGTTATTGCTTAACTTTCTTAGACCTTAGCTTGACAGCAATGTACATTCTGGCTTGAAAGCTTCTACTTGCTCTTGTCATTCCATTTCTACATTTTTTTTTCATCTGACAAACCAATCTGTTCTTATTATAAAATATCTTTATTGGTTTACCATATAGTATTTTACTACATTTTCTAAGTTCTTCAACTCATAAACATTATTTAAATTCTTTCATTAACAAGAATGCCTAGCCTTATTTTTTTGCACTCACCATTTACCAAGAACTCCTTTGCTCAGGTCTCACAGCAAATGTTGAAAGGTGGCATAATGCAGCAGAACCACCAAGGGCAACAGATGGTGGTTCACCAACAGCAGCAACATATCATCATGCAGCCACACATACCTCAGCACCAGCAGCTCATTGTTCAACAGCCTTCACAACAGCAAATTATTGCCTCTAACTTCATTCTGACTTCAAATCAGGTGATTAATTCTCAACTGCATTGCCTCTAACTTCATTCTGACTTCAAATCAGGTGATTAATTCTCAACTGCGCACCTATTCATGGAAAGTTTGCTTCTGACGATTTTTTAATTTTGAATGAAATTATTTTTTTGTCTTCTTTGCAATTTATCTTGAGGGAATTTTTCTATTCATCAATGACTTGATGAATCGGTGAACTATTAACCTGAAAATTTGATTTGTGAAAATTAATTCTTTGTGCTGATAAATAAGTTTAAACTGTTATTGTTGTATTGAAAAATTAATTCGAACATTCATTGTTTCAGCAAATAAAAGGTCACCCTCCAGTTATCCAGTACTTGCCTCCACCTCAGTCCCAACAGCAAAGCCAGCAGCAGCTTATGCAACAAACCAGCTCAGCACAGCGCCTTCAACAGTGAGATTATTAGAAATTGCTTTTTTGTGTTCTGAAACCTGCATTTGAGGCTTGCATTTGTTATTGTTTTGCATCATGCTTCATCATGTTCCTTGCTCACCTTAAATTGCTAAATTATATTTTAATTGCATTATACATGTCATTTTTATGGTTGCACAGAATTCCGTGCTTGAAACCATTATCAATAGACAATAGTTATTAATTATGTTTGACTGTCAGGGAGGGAGCAACACCTGACAACATGCGCAAGCAGATCCAGGTGCAGGCGCAGTTTCGTCAGCAGCAGATGCGACAAGTTCAGCTGTCTGGACATGGACAGCCACAACCACAGATCGTTCATTTAAATTTATCTCAGCAGCATTTCCAGCAGCAAGGTGCTCAGCAGCAGCTCATTCCTGCACAGCTCATGCAGCAGCAAGATGGACAGCAGCCTCAACAAATTGCTCTTATTCAATCGGTGGGTAAAATTTCACTTTCTTGTTGTTTCAAATTGGTTATCCAATATTGGACCTAAGGTTTCACTTTTTAAAACTTTCACAGTAATGCAGAAATGTTACAATGTTACTGCAGGCCACATATAAAACCCACGTGATTGGCATCGAACTGTTCAGATAATGGGTGCTGTATATTGATCTGATTTCAAATTATACTTCTTGCATTTGAAACTTGAGTAGTAGTTTGGTCATGACTGAATTAATGTTATTTCCAAATGATGTACCGTATAACTTAGATGAATATTTTTGTTTTGCCTCTTGCCATCCATTTGAGAATGCATTACATGCGTACCAATGAGTTTTGTATTGTGTGCAGTCAGTGAAAGGGACAGAAGGCTTGCAGTACCAAATGAGGCTGACCCCTCAGACTGCCGCGTCAGGACCTGGCCTGATGACGTCAGGCGGCGTGGTGAGGCCTCACCTGCGTCAGGTGCACACCATGGCCGTGTCGCCTGTGTCGTCGTGTCACCAGCCCACCCCGCATATGCAGACCATGGTCGGCCTCAGTGTCCAGCAACAGGTTAGTTCTTTTTTTTCGAAAAATTCATGTAAGCAAATTGGTTTTTATTTTACATTTAGCGTATGTGTGTGAAATGTCAAGAAGATCGGTTGATAAATGTTGAAGTTTTTTCGTAACCGAAACGATCCCCTTAATACTAGAGAATCTTGGTGGACAACAACTTTATTAGTAGAATGTTTCTGTCAGTAAAACTAAGAGCTGAATAGTTTGTAGGCTTACACCTATAGTGCGAAAGGTGACGGAGTATTAGATGGGGTCTGCATAGGTAAAGATAGGTCAATGCTGATGAAAAGGCTGGCGGAGATGAAGTATGTGCTCTCACATAATTCACCATCCCTAAAAATCCCTAAAACACGGTAAAGTTCCTAAAATAATTAGGTGTTCTCCCTGCCTCAGCATTATATGTATGTTCACTCTAACAGATGCAAACGCAAGCCCCTCTGACGCCAGCTCAGAAGCGCCAACAAGGTCGTCAGCAGCAGCAGATAACTTTGTTGTCCACGAACATTGCTGGGTCAGGGGCTGAGGGCACAATGATTACTCGTCCTCAGTCTCTGGTTGAGCGTCCTCAGCAGCCCGCGCCCCACAATCTTCGTGGCATGAACCCTTCTGAAGGCCCGCGTCCCGTGGGGCTCCCGAGGGTGCGGCATCCAGCGCCTGGGCAGGGGATGAGAAATCCTGCTATGCTCAACAGAATGCCTCGTTATGCGCAGCCCGGAATTGTGAGTTGTTCTAGGCTTTGTCTTATGAAACGGACATTTGATTATGCTGTGCAGGCTCTCTATTATTTATATTTCTCCCTTATTAAAATGTAGAAATGTAGTTGTAATCGATGGATTTATTGTAAACAATTTTTATTGCTCTAGTGTTAAAACCATGCATTTGATTATGCTACAGCAGATGCAGCCTGGAGTTCAGTCTGTTGCCAGCTCCCAAGGCTCAGGCGTCGGGGTGGTGACGTCCCAGGCCCCGCTCCAGCAACCCACTAGCAACAATATTGCCCTGCTTGTCTCCCCTGCTGATGTTGATGCTGTTACCTCGTCCGTCGATCAGCAAATCAACGCTCCTGGCACAGCCGTCACATCGTCGCCGCCAGCCACCGTAAGTTACATCATTGTTAATAATATCCTCCCTCCTCGCTTGCAATAATTTGGCACCTTGTTGTTGACCCTCCCCGCCTCGCTTCACGGCGCGAAGCGGGGCCTAGACCCAGTTCTGGGGCCAGCCAAGTCGGCCGCCCCAGCGGTCCAGCAGCCCCGCGGCGTTCACGGGGTCTGCCCAAAGGTCACCCACCGACAAGGATGTGGGCATTTCAGGGCAGGAGAAAAGATGAATGGTGTCGTGCGTGTTGGATAGACAGAGTGGGCAAAGTGGAGAAGGGTGTGTGGCAGGGTCCATTTTATTTAGATACGAGAGAAGTAGCGGTGATTTGATTGTGCAACGTTGGGCAAGGTTCCTGCGTGCAGGTCTGGGTAGGTTGATTTCAGCTGGGTGGATCTGTGATGTGGGGATGTTTAGAATTTTATTGTGAGGAAGGGTTGCAAGATAGTTTACTGTGATAGTAGTGTGGATTGTTTTGAGATTTTGTTTGATGTGCCTTGTGTGGCTTGAGCAGGTCGGGTATTTATGTTGGTGGTGAAACCTGAGTTGTGGAAAATGGTTTGTTTCATGAGACGATGTGGATGCGGCTAAAGGGCGAGGGTGTGTAGTGGGTGGGTTGGGTTTTGTGCTTTCTGTCTGAGTTGTGAGGCGTGAAGTTTGAGGTGTTGTGTTAGGGGCAGGAGTTTGGTTTCTTGGTGAAGGTGAGGGATGTTGGTGTCTGCGGTACATCCTGTGGCTATCCTGAGTGCTGCGTTCTGGACTGTTTGCGTGGGTGATATGCAAACAGTCACGCACATGGGTGATATAATTATATCACCCATGTGCGTGGGTGATATAATTGGTGACCAGGATGAGTTTGCGTATTCGACGATTGGACGCGTAATTGTTTGGAATGTGGTTGTGAGCAGTGAGTAATTTGGCACCTTCTTCTGTGCTTTCTTTTGTTGCAAGTTTTTGTTGACTTGTCTATGATGTAGAACACATAATACCGACTGTAGTGGTTATAGATTATTTTGCATACTGTGCCGAGTCTCGCGGTTTTGAAATATTTCGGTGAACGCGTGATTTTATCTTCGTTTCTCATGCATCGATGAAACGTGATAGCTAATTTGTTGCACTAATGAGCATTAATTTCTCCAACTCTTGATACAGTTTCCTTTCTATTGTCAAAGGGCTTTTTGTAGCCTTAATATTGTTTTCTACTATATTCGGTCATCAGGTCGCAATGAGCAGCAACGGTGTGCCCGCTAGCACGTCCCTAGTCATGTCTCAGCAACAAACATCGCAGCAGCAGGCAGCTCAACAGCATTTAACACAACAGCAGGCATCACTGCAGCAGCCGGCACAGCAGCAGGGTATCAAGAAGCTCTCACTGGAGCAGTATCGCAGCAAGCAACTCATTCGTCAACCTGCACCTCAAGGCCAACCTACCCGCTTCCTCCCTCAGCATCCAACGCAGAATGTCGCTCGCGAGGTTATTTTGTAAGTTGCACTGCTGGCAGGGTGCCTTCATGATCTCATTCATTTTATTATGTGAATAACATAAAATGTAAAGAAACTGAGGCTTCTGCCAGCTCTTGAAAATGAACGTGATTGCAGTTCAGTGACTGGTAAACATTTAGCCTGGCAAGGATCTTCTGAAACTGACTGCAGAGTTTGCTAGTTCATTTCACAATGTGTTTTTTTTTCATAAGATTCTCGGGTTTGAATTGGATTGCAAAACTTTGATAAAACGTGTTTTCATTGGTAATTTATTTGCCTGAAGCATAGTATTGCACACGGTGTAATATTGTGTCGCATTTTGTTTCAACCTAGTTTTCTATATTTTGAATTTTCCTCACTCAATCTCAGTTTACAATTGCGATTTGCTGTTACAATTGTCTAAAACTAGCTTGTTCATTGTCATATTTAATCCTGCAATGCAGTTTTCTTTCAGTTTCCTGTAGGTTCTAATAAAATTTTTATCGTCTTCCCAGGAATATAAAGAACTCTAAAGGGTTGCTGGGAATGAACAAGTAAGTTGTAGTGTATAAAGTCTCCACTTTTAGAAAACTATTTACAAATTGTTTACTTTTTACTAAAATGAATGATTTATTTAAGTAGAGCGACACGTATTGTAATTCTTTAATCTCACTCAACACGTGTCAACTTAACGCCTAACAAAAACCTTTTGTTATATTTTTCGTTTGGCCAAATGAGATGATTAACTTTATTAGAATGTTGCAGCTCTTCCATTGAATCCAGATCTGTGCTGCTCTAGGCGGACAGTTTTTATGGAAATTGGGTTCTGTAGGTGTCCATTGAGGCCTGCAGTAATTTTAACAGCCGTGGTCTTTCGATTGTTCTTCAAAATTCGAATAGGTACCGACGGTCTCTCTCAGACAACTTCGACTTTCGGCCAGACCTGTACTTTGCTGAGGACGCTTTCCCTTCTCTTTCAAAAGCAGTCAATAATTTTGAGACATTACCTGTATAAACGTCTTAGGGAAGTTTCTGTCACACTAGCACCTGCCATACGGGCACCAACTATTTGGCCCCTTTAAAAGTCAGAGAGGTTTAGCATTTACAGGTTAGGTTATAAACACAAAAATTTACTAAAAAACAGCTGTGCAGGGATAAAATTTCAATTAGCAGCAACAGTAACAAAAAAAAATATTAAAATATGTCACGTTTACGTTGTTTATAACATGTACAAAAGTTACGATATCAAAATGTCAGGCGTTTCCCTGATTTTGTCCAACCCACGTACTTGATTTAAAAAAACACGTTATGTTCGTAAAACAATTTGTAATCAATAAAGGAAACCTAGTTTCTAGTGGGATGTACTCCAAAGTGTTGAATAATATTATCAATAAGACGTGTTTATTTGTTACACTTGCAGCCGAAACTTAAACTTAGGCCACACGGTAGCTGCCCAACATCAAGCCATTACAGCGCAGCACGAACACATCATGTCTTCCCCTGACTCAACCAGCGCTGCACCTGATCACGAGGAACAGGTTAGTATTGAAGTAGATTAGTTCGTTCGTATCGAGCTAGGCACATGGTAAATATTTCGTATATGAATAAATTGAAATATTACACTGGTTCATTATTGGATCTTATGACATAGTTATTAAATTTATCTCCATCTCATTCTCTAATTTAATTTCTGTTAGCAGGATAAAGGTGCTCGTTATCTGCCTGGTCACCAAGCTAAATGTGACAACTGCGGGATCCTGAGTGACGACTTCAATACTTGCCAGCGTTGCCGGAAACCTATCTCCAAAACTGCCAAAATTTTTCCAGCTACGAGCAATGCTAACCTGGTAACTTCTTCCGCGTCTCAGCAACAGCCGGTCTATCTGACGGGCTCACAGATCATTAAACAAGTGAGGCCGCAAATATTTCTCTTGCTAACTTCAATATTGCATGCATTGTTGAAGAATATTCATGGTAAATCCAATAACCTCTTCAGTTTCCTATTTTTAAATTGGAAAAAACATTTAATCAGTTGCAATTCATGTAGGGGCATGTATATTTCATTATTTCAAGTTAACATATACACACCGTCTCAATGAACTCCGTAATTCTTCAAAGGACTTTTACGGGAAATCTGGAGGAGGAAGACGTCACGATAAAGCCATCAACAGCAGCTATTCTCCGCGCAACAGTAACCACAAGCCCTCACACCGCGGCCGAGGACGAGGCAGAACTAGAGCCTACGATGAACCTGGTGAGAGAACTGTTGCCATCACATCTGTTCTCTGTGCTGTTTTCAGTGTCTTAACTGAGCTTTATTAAGTTCGTCTTCTTGCAGCTCCTCAAGAGGTTAACAAAGAAACTATTAGCCACACCACCAGCTTGATGCAGCCAAATTATCGTTCGCATCTAATGAATATTATTTTCGGCCTTTGAGATTATAGGATGGTATAGAGTTGCTGTAATTCTTGTGGTAATTTTGAAGCAATGCTTTTGAGAAATGCAATTAAAGGAATAGATATCGCGTTCATGACAAGAATTTATCGCTGTTAGGGTCATTCGTCGCTCAGTGATAATGTAATGGGTTTCTTCTCTTTTTATTCCAAATAATTTTAGCCTGTACGCTGCTACGCATGATTTGAGTGGGCATAATCAACATCATAAATTGATCCGCAGAGATTCTAACACTATCGTCTGATGATGATGACGGCAATGCTAGCAGCGATGGGAGCGCCTCAAAGCCCGGCAAGCCCAGCCACAATATCCAGCATGGGGTCAATCCATATAGATTAGACAATTTTAACAAGAAACTGGACTTCATTATCAACAATAAGGAGCCTAAGATACCACCACAAAACCCAGCAGGTCAGTCAGTGTATATATTAGCTGAAATAAATGTTGTTGGTTCGACGTTGCTCGTGACCGGTGAGTTCTTTATCGCTATTATTTGTTCAAATTGTGTTGATGGGGAATTGTCCAGCATAGTTTTTTGCAAAGGTAACATAAGATATAGAATAGAANTTTTAAGACTGAACATATGCTCCTGCATAGCTTCGTCTAGTCTGTTTTTGAAGATGTTCATAATCGGAGCGTCAACGATGCTGTCAGGCAGGCTGTTCCACATGTCGATTTGGAAGACTTGACTAGGTTCCATGCAATGGTTACAAAAATAGTTAGATAGGTCTTCATCAGCATAATGATGCATTCATTTGCCATCTTTGTAACTTAATTTTTTTAACTTAATATTTGTACCAATTTTCAAGTCTTTTTGTATGAACAGGTTTCACGAGTTTCGACTGCTGTTCTTTCCTGATCGATGAGTTTTTTGTGACGACTCACGATTTCTTGTGAAAATATGAATTGACGATATTAATTAAAAATTAAATTTTTGGAGTTTTCCACTAATTTTAGGTCGAACTTTTGTAGGCTTGAAGTTTGATTGTCGTTATATGCTATAACCGGGGTTTAGTTATACTTTAGGACCCGCTCGAAAAACTTGCAAGTTGGTTTTCTATTAGTGGTAACAATGGCGGCACGTGGTGCGTATTTCTCACTCTCAGTGATCGACGATTGTCGTTGAGTGCTGCTGATATTCGTCTGTTTTACCGACGGTGCCTACACATTGTTTCTATCTAGCTAGTTCATTACTCAACGTAACTTAAACAAACCCACAAAAACATGAAGAAAAAATTACGTTTGCGCGAGGGGTTTAAAAATAGAAAGAAACAGTCGATGGCACCCAGGGAAAAACTCAAGTGGAGTAAGTTTTAGTAGTAGGCTATACAAATTACAAAATGATCTAGGTAGGTATTAGAAAAGCGGTACTATTGCAAAACTCATTGATTGATAGAACAATCGTTTTCAATGAAATTTCGAGTAATATTTTGAAATGACTCATTGAAACGTGTCGTTTTCTTTAATTTGTTTAGTCTATGCCCCATGGCATAGTAGTTGCAAAAAAATTTTTAGAATCGTTCATTTATTATTTAGGTACTCATCTACTTAATTTTAATCTAGGTAGGCCTAGCTATTTCTTGTGTACATATGGTGATGCTGGTATACTAGATACCTACTTATTAGTCTAAATTATAAGATTCAAAAATGAACTTTAGGAAGTAAAAAAAAATGTTCTACTAGGGTGGGTAAATTTTGTGAGGAAAAAATTATAGGTATGATGGTCATCAACTCATCATTAACCATTTCTAGCTTTAAATAATAAATACTGTAAAATGGGGTAACTTAGACCGGCGGGGTAACTTAGACCACTTTTCGTTTTTTTTTACAAAAACCCCCACAACTCAGAAACTATTTGACATAGAAAAATTTTGTCAATGGGCATTAAAGGCCTAATACTGAGGCTACATAATACAATAGAAAGATTTAAAAAGTTTGCATATCTAATAGGTTAAAAAATTAAAAATGTGACCTACGAAAAAAAGCTAATATTTAAAGCCTGTCAGAGTACCCTATCCAATTTTTTTATTTTTTGGTTAAATAACTCCAGGTTTTGATGCATTGTAGTAGAACTCTTCTAGTTACATATGCAAATGACAAATTTTAGGAAAGTCTCATAGTTTGCAAATGGGGGGCGCTAAGAACAGGTTCTTTTGAATAACCTATGGATTGCCACCATGCCTGGATACCAGCATTATTATACTTGAGAAATTGGTTTAAATCTTGAGTAGGTATACGCTGTATATTCCGTCACATTAAGGACGCATCGAGAAATGAAAAACTATAAAAAAATAACCGTATGCGTTAATCAAGTTCTGTTTGCTTTATGTGACTTTCAAAACATTGCACTATGCGTCAGCAACAACGAAACGTCACAAAATGTTGCCATATTTATTTAAAAGCCTTTAGAATGCAAACCTACCAAATTCCTATATTCCGTCACTGTGTGTGGCTATATTTGGCATGTGGTGAGGCATATTCCGTCCGCGCTTCAAATTCTACTGACACAGTGATACGTAATGCTGTCATCCACGTGTTCGAATTTCATTCGCTGTGTGAGCTGTATTGGAAAACAACACGGCTTTGAATTAGAACACTAATGAATATTGAATACTACTTAATTACGCTTTTAATTAACAACTATTAAGCTTTTAATTAGGCAAATTTTAATTTTTGTACGCAGCTTGGAACGATCTCTGTGTGTCCAATTCAAGTTGTGACGGAATTAGTTTTCATGTGTCTAAATCCATTTCTCAACTTAATCATCTATTAATTTATTTACCACTTGAAATCAGCGAATACAAGTATACTTAAAGGATTCCTAATATATTCACAGACGTATTTAAAAGTCTCCAACCATAATATTCTTCCTATACAAACAGTTATTCATTATTTGGTAGAGCAAGCTGTCAGCTGCCAAATTTGACACATTTTTCGATGATCTCACTGGGTAGCGTGCATTGTCTCTCTTTGGATCTTAATATTTTCCCGCTAGATGGCCAAGACCTAGTGTTTTGGCAGTAGTTTGATGCGCAAATGTATGACGTCACCATTTCAACCATCAACGAATGCATGGAACTAAAACAAAGCTTAATATAAAGGAAAAACTAGAGAGGTGATGGAATTACCCACGATGTCGGAATATACCGCGTTTACCCTAAATGAGGAAATTAAAAATGAACTGATTCTCTTACCCACTATGCTGTGGGTAATTCTGAGACCCCTCAGCTTTATCCTTTATAGCCATTATGCTTGGTCTTAGTTCCACGCATGCGTAGATGGTTGAAATAGTGATGTCATACTATTGTGCCGTGTGCGCAAGATTTACGCAAAACACTAGGTCTAGCGGGAAAATGTTAAGATCCGCAGAGTGAAAGTCCAAGTCTACTAGTGAGAACATTCAACATCGAAACACGTATCAAAGTTGATGGGGCTAGTTGACCTTGCTTACTAAATAGTGATAAACTGTTTGTGTAGAAAGACTATTATGGTTTGAGACTTTTAAATAAGTCTGTGAATATATTAGGTAGGAATCCTCTAAGTATACTTGTATATATCGTTTTTAAGTGGCAAATAAATTAATAGATGATTGATTCAAGAGATGGCTTTAGACACATAAAAACTAATTCTGACACGGCGTTGGAATTACGACACGCAGCCACAACACAGGGTGTCATATTCCAACACAGCTCACACAGGGTGTCAGAATTCCAACACAGAATGTCGGAATTACGATTTTTAAGCGCTGTCAGAATTAGTCTCACAATATGCTGCATTTAGTCACACAGTGTTGGGATTCAGCAATTTTGTACATTTGAATTCTAAAGGCTTTTAAATAAATATGGCAACAGTTTATGACGTTTCATCATTGCTGGCGCATAGTGTGGTGTTATGAGAGTGGCATTAAACCAATCAGAACTCGAGTTGCGCATACAGTGATCTATTTATAGCCATTTATTTCTTGCTACGTCCTTAAGGTGTTGGAATATGGTGTGTTTACCCTATGGGTATGCTAAGTTTCCATGAAGTAATCACTTTGAAGTTGCGTCCGTGCAGCTTTCACTCAACAATTAAAATTATAAAAAGTATTAGTTAGAGATTTGTCTCTTTAGTTAACTGCAATGAACTAGACTTCATAAAGTAATTACAATTTACAACTACCCTCACTGAGCGAGGTTAATGTAATCAAAATTCATTGTTGTTAATTGATTTTTTGGTTAACTGGAGCCTTTGCTAACCAAGGTTCTACTGTAAATGTGTTTTTAGTGGTGTCCCTTTTTACCCCTATCATGCGGAAATGGCCGCTATTTATTTTTGAAATGAGATCTGCATATTCCATCAATCAAGTTTTTAAGGGGACCGTCTACCTTAAAAATCAGCCATAAACAAAACACAACACCCATGCCACTACCTACGCAACCACCTACCTACACACAGGCAAATAGTGCAAACCCCCACACAGATACTACACCAACATACTAGATACTGTACCCCCACCCCAAGGCAATCCCAGCACAAAAAAACACACAATTATGACACTTAGAATGCTGGAGCTGGCTGGCAACAACAAAGTCCTTGGACACCCACCACCTGACATAAGCAGCACAGAAACACAGCTCTCTAGACTGGAGAGAGTACACCTAACCAGGCTGTGCTGCGGCCACCACCCCTCACTACAAACATACGCAAACAGAATAGGCCAAGCAGATACAGACACCTGTCCATCCTGCCAGAGAGCTCCCCACACTATCACTCACATTCTCCTGGAATGACTGCTCTGGCAGGACCTCGGACAACACCACCACATAACCTTGACCCTACAGCTCTGGAGCGACCCCCTGTCGGTGGTGTCATACCTGCGCGAGGGGGGTCTCTCGTAAAATTGAGAACGGGGAACCACAACAACAACCATAAAAATTGAAATTTTTGGCTTTTCCGGTTTTTAAGCTCATCTTAAAGCTTACTTTCTGCTGCATCAAACGGTACTAAAACCATCTCTGTACGTTGATTTATGCGTTCAGGACAGATCCCGAAAGGGGGGAGTGTGTTGGGGTCCCTTCACAAAAGTCTATGGAGATAATTACTGCCAAGCCGTATAAAATGGTTATGACTGGACCTGCAGCTCGGTGCAGCCATCATGTGGAAAGGTGTTGATGTAGTCGTCCTATGCCCCGCTGACTGACTTTGGAGTGGGATAATGCTTGCTTTGGGTATCTAAGCTACGTTACATGCCTTTACATATAGCGCCGCGGTTTTTTGCCTCTACTGAAAAGGTTGAAAACATGAAAACCTCATGGCAAACCTATCTCCTCCTAGAGTTTTGAAGCTACATCAATGAGATGTATATCATTCAATTTGCCAAGAAAAGGTTTTCCAATTTGTTTTTGGGTTTTTTTTTCCAGTTTGTTTTTGTTTTGGTTTTTTTTTTGCAAAAGGTTGGGGAAGTTGGGGTTAAATTAAAAATTTTCGGCCAAATTGTTCCCCCCCCCCCAAAATTGGGAATTTAAAAACCCCCCGGCCCGTTTGTTGGCCTTGTTTTTTCGGCTTGGATTGTTTTTTTTTTGGTTTTTTTGGTTTGAAATTCTTGTGGGGGGTTGGTTTTTTTAAGTTCCCCTTTTTTGGCCTTTTTTTAGGATTTTCCGTTTTTTTTTCAATTTTTTCAAAAATTTGCCTTGATTAAACCTTGGTTTTTTTTAGGGTTTACACATGTGTCCCAAATTTCACATTGATCCCTTTGTAAATTACCGAGATAAAATTTAGGGTAGACACTCCCCTTAAAATGAGCCAAACTTGTCTATGAAATGTTTCATGGTAAGAAGTTATTTATGAATAATATACGTTTAAAAATAAGTGTATTAAATTTTGATTACAAGATTTGTAGCAGACAGACAGATAAACAAGAAGTGAAGTTAAAGAGAAGTATTGTAAAAACGCTCAAAAATGTCCCTTATTACCCCGTTTGATGGTATTGGTAGATTCTCTCTAATTGTTGAAACCTCTTCTTATAAATTTTTTAGAAACCATTTCATTTTGAATTCCCTGATAACCTAATTTAGTTCCAAATTTAATCCAAACCATAATACTGGTATCCGGGATACTTTACTGGTTTAAAAGAACTGAAAAATAGGTAGTGAAAAAATTCTCTACTTTGTCACCATTTTATTTATATTGTGACTCCAAAGTGACGTTTTCAATAATTTCTTAATTTTTGGACTTGATTGTACACTTTTATCAACAATTGGATAAGGGATTCATCTAGCTGGAATCTTGCGGCTCCAAAATTGGCGGGAAATGGTAGAATTATAAAACGGGGAGGTTTCTCAAGTGCACTCCACCATAATACACTCATAATGCACAACAACTGCAGCCCTATGATGACCGGGGGATGAATTAGTGTTGGGTTAAGTCAACCAGCTAAATGACACTTTTTTCCATTTTCCATTGCCTAAAAATTAAAAGGTATGTTAAAGTTGATTGCCACCGTATGCCACATCAGAAAAAATTTGAGCATGTAAAAAAGTAGGGGTCCAAACCCCAAAATTAATGTTCCATTTGCTTTTTTTTTTTCAAACTTCTCAAGTTGAGATATCTTTAATTCATATCAGTGACGGTTGGGTTGGTGATACTGAGTCAAATTAAAGTTTGATAAATTCCCGTCACATTTGCATGCCCTGGTCTAATGCATGCCCATCAAATTGGAGATTTCAAGCTCACTGACCATATTTGGTAAATTTGTTTAATGTAATCTGTTTTTTAAATAAACAATATCTGGGAAAATGTCCGGAAATAAATTTATCCTGGAATTTCACTTTCTCACTTGTTTCAAATTGCTAATTCTGCAGTTTTATATGTTTGCTTGCCAAAGGATTTGGGTGTAGGAGACTAATTTTGAGATCTTGATGTGTATGCTCATATTTGTTTGAGAGTTGAATCTGACAGTAAATTGATACTGGATGATGCATTACTCAAATTGGAAGCTCATATGCTTTGTCAATGTTTGCTCTACATGTATAAAAGTTTTGAAACTTATTGCCAAGTAACAAGGTTGTTATAGTCGGAATCTGAAGCCCAGTCCTCACTGGAGTAATTAATCTGTTTGAATTCTACTTTCAGATGAGCAGCCTGCAGAAGAACAGCCCTCATCCGAGATGGAAGATCTCAAGCCTGAGCCAATTTCTTCCAACTACTGCCAAGTTGTGTGCCGAACTGTGAGAATTGGATCTTACCGAACTACTCCTCTGTGCGGTGTTATCTTCAACACCAGAGCAATCAGAATCAGTGTCAAACCTCTTGTTCCCGGTTAGTACAATGCTCAATAGTTCCTTAGTTCAGTCCTAAGTAATCTGGCTGCATACTAACGTTTCAAGACACTCATGTTTTGATGGAATTAGGTATTATTATTATTTACTCTTTGACCTGAGGCTCGTGTGTCTTCTCATTTCAGGATCACTACAAGTCGTGGATATCATCATTGGACTTTCTGATATTGTGCAAGTGAATTATCATTTCGGCAAGAGTATGCCAGTGCTTTTCCTCTTCCTAAGGGCTCATGCTGCCTCCAGAATTCGATGCCTATTGGGAATGAATGATCCTAAAGGGTTCTATTATGACCCATGCAGTACAGGTATGTCATAACTGATCTCTTCTTAAACCTCCTGATATACGGGCGATGATCCACATCTATTGCACTTGATGCTTGCATTACTTCCATTTTTAGTTGTAAGTCGTAAACGTTATTCCTTGCATTGCATCTGAAGCAGTACTTTTTAGTAACTTGATGTTTTTTGCAATGATTAATATTTGAGGAAACCTGTCTAAACTATCACTTTTCTATGGCAGATGATACGTTGAAGCGTGTGGTGCTCATGCCCGAAAAGTTTGTTGAAGAAAGTAAGAGTGCCATCAAGAATATTTTCAAGAGTTACATTGCTGAGGACGGGAAAATTATACAAATGGAGGAACTAAACCATGAGGAGGCCAACACGGTGTTGATGGCTGCCAGTGGACCAGAAGTGCATACTACTTTGCGTCAAACCTCCAAGAACATCAACCAATTCCCGCAACCTTCAAAAACGTAAGAAAAGTGTCATGTACTTTGCAATAAACCATTGTTTTGACCTACCTCATTTTTTGGGCATCATTATTCCGTTCTGCCCTGCAGTAAAAGCTTCATTTGAATGATTTTCATGGTTACGCTTTTCTTCTCTTGAAATATATTTTTCCATTATATTTCCAAGGCTCCTGTATCGTGTGATAAATTTCATGTAAATAGTGTATAAATGAAAAACGTTTCAATTGTTCATATAGTAATATTTTACTTTCTGCGTTGCATAAATTGTAGAAATGTTGGTTAATAAGTGCCCTGAGTTTTATTTATTACTGATTTTTTTTTGCTTCCAGGCTCCTGATTTATCCACCACCACCTCAGAAGGGTGGCATTTCCATCACCGTGGATGACTACCAAGTGCTGGAAGAAGAGAGCTTCCTCAATGATGTTATTTTGGACTTTTACCTCAAGTATGTTGTGTAATTGATAATAAGTACGCTAAGATACTTGGAGTTATTAACATGTTCAAATTTTGAGTGACTCCTTTGAAGGAACTCTGATTCCTTCAAATAATGTTCTGTAGGACTTATCCATATTTTTACCGATCATAAAGATATATAATATATAATGCATTTCTTCAGGTGGTTGCTGCATAAGTTGCCAGAGGAGCAGCGCAACAAAGTTCACCTCTTTTCGACATTTTTCTACAAACGTCTTACTTGTAAACCAAAGAAAATGAGGCGTCATCATCCTGTAGAAGATGATCCACGACTTTCAGCTGCGGAGAAACGACATGCCAGAGTCAAGTCCTGGACTAAATGTGTAGATATTTTTGACAAAGACTTCATCATCATTCCAATCAATGAACAGTGAGTATTGCTAGTTTAGTACATGATCGATCTAACGTTTAAACATAAATATCTGAAAAATTTATCTCTAATTGATTTTAGCGCATTTTCTCATTTATGAAAAAATGCACTATTGTGCTCGCCATGTTCGTCTGGCCGTCCGTGAACACGTTTTCGTTGACAAGAAAATGCGCTCTCTGTCACTCACTGCAGTGAGTACTGAGTTTTATTTTTAAATGAATAATCTTGGCATTTGACACTGGACCTGCACACTAGTCTCTGGGTCCTCATATGTATAATGTTAACCTCATTCGTGTGTTGTTTATGGGATCAAAATAGCATTTTTTTTTGTATCAGTGCACATTGGTTCCTGGCCATCATTTGCTTCCCTGGATTGCGCGCTCCTGTCCATTTTGAGACTGGAGAGCCCATAGCTCCTGAGGCCCTGGCTGCGGAGGAGGCAGCATGCAGCAAAAAGGGCGCTGGCAGGCATAAAGTACGGCACGAGGTAAGGCGCTCACTACATTAGCAACTGAAGTTTGAGTTTTTAATTTGAACAATTTATCTGCATTATGTACTTAAATACAGAAATGCCTTTATAAGTTTTTGACCTTCGAAATTATTCCAGCAAATTCCTATCATTGATGATGGGGAGTGGAGTGACCGTGACGAAGCTGAAGGGGACGAAGATGAGCTTGAAGAAGACGAGGATGAGGACGATGACGCCAATAGTCTGCAACCCTCGAGGAAGAAGAGCAAAACTACAGAGCAGCAGATCCCTGGGCTAGGAGGTGACGAGGAGCAGCAGCAGACGCCACCTGCCAAGACCAAGTCTGCCTGCACATTGCCGCCCATTAAACAGTAAACACCTATTTTTTAAATTACACAGTTGAATGTGAAGAGTTATATATATGCGCGTGATCTTAAGTTTGCTCGTATCACTTCAGCTGAGGCTGCATTGTTGAGTTGCATTTTTTCATAACTACTCGTGGAACTTCGCAGCCACAAATGCTGTTTGTGCACGTGATATGCTCTTTTATTTATGTAATTAGAAATATTTTCTCATTTCTCTTCTTACATTTAAATTGATGGCTGGTGTTTTGTATTGAAATTTTCTTTCACAGACCTTGCATTCTGATTTTTGACTCGCTGTCTGGCGGTCATCGTGCTCGCATCGTTGCCACGCTGAGGGATTACCTCACAGTGGAGCATCTCCACAAACGCAAAGAGGCTCGCGCCTTCACACGCGAGACAATGAAGGGCGCTGTGCCACGCGTGCCGCAACAGACCAATTACACCGACTGCGGCCTCTACACTCTTCAGTTCACCGAGAGCTTCTTTGATGTGATTATCCATACCTGTATTCGTGTCACGCTTAAATTATAGTCCCTTATAAATAAATAAAAAAATGAATTATTTGAGCATATTTTATGGCTAGCGATTTTGTTCCCATCATATTCTGGCAAGTAGTTCTGTCATGATTTTCTTATTTTGACCATAACGTTGACTTAACCTGACCTTTTTCAGCTACCTCTGAAGGACTACCGGTTTCCCATGCGTTCAATCGTCAACTGGTTCGACGAAGCCCTCGTAGCTGGCAAGAGGGAATTCATTGCGCTGCTCATCAAGAGACTGATGGATGAATACAACCCTAACCATAACATAGTGCTTCCAGAAATAAGCTTCAGTACGCCCGAAGAACGGGAGAAAGGCGGTCGTGCTTCCTGCCAAGCCGAGGAGCGTGAGCGTCAGCATAAACTGGCCCAAGAGAAAAATAAGGAGAAGATTGCGAATATTAAATCTGACAACAAAACGCCTGTGACTGAAAATATTCCTTTGCTAGGCGATGATGGAGCCTGCAAACAACCACCAGAAGAAACTGGTGCTGCTATGGAGAATAATAGAGCCAACGAAGCTTCTGCAAAAAATTCTAATGTAGATAAATCTAAAGATTCAGAAAATAAATCATCCGAGGCTCCAAAAGATGTACCAAATCCTTGCGATGGAGAAAGCGGCTCGAAGAAAAATCAGTCTACACTCTCAAAAGTTCGCTCTGAGGGTAAAATTGCCGCTTTACCATCCAAGGACCCTGTTAAGTCAGCTACAGCAATCATAAAAAACAAAAAATTGGTTTTAGGCGTCATCCCTTCAGTGACGCCTTTTGGCAGCCCGCAGGCAGAAAAATCAAGTGTTACGGGAACAACTAGTTCTAAAGGACCAGCCATTGTGTCATATAAACCTCTTCCGGCAAGCTTGGCCTCCATCCGAGACACATATACTTTCGACGATGCCAAGGACGACGAAGAAGAAAGCAATAATAATGAAAGCATTAATCTCTTGAAGGAACGTGCTGTTGTGGCTGTTACACGCACGTCAGCTTTGACTACTGGAGGCACGGTAGCTACTGTGCAAATGAGCTCAAGCATGGAGAGAAGCACAGCCGCTACACTTGCACGCCTCAATAGCAGAGTAGCCTCTGCAAACCTCTCAATGAATGGCCTGATGACTGATCACGCCAACAGTTCATCCGAACAATCATCGGGTGCCATCCTTGCCCCGCCTCAGGAGGACGTTGCTCACCTCAACAAGTATCCTATACTTGCATCGAGCCTCGGTAATGGTCGTCGAGTATCCGAAACAAAGAACTTGGTGAGCATTGCAAAGGACGAAAACGGTGTGTCTTCTACGGATTCAACCAAGGAAGCTGTTACTAACTCCACACATGTGAAAGATAGGCGTGAAAAGTCTAGTATTGTTAAGGAACCCATTGCTGTGAATAATGGGCATTTGAATAAGATTCTTGTTGGGGAAATATCTGGCAAAAAAGCAGTGTATTCAGAAGACGGTACCGAAGTTTTGATGTACCTGACTCCTGAAGAAGGCGGGTGCTCGCCAGCTGATCGAGAGGACAACGATTCTCCAGATATGTATGGCGATGCGGATTTAGCACCTGCTGAACGACTCTCTGACGAGGACGAGGGTGTGTTCGGCCGTCCGCTGAAAGGCAGTGAAGGCTCAATGGACTCCAATAGCACGATTTCAGTGGGCACAGAGGAACAGACCGTTCCTCCTTCGACACATACGAGCAGAAACTCACTATCCAGTACTGACAGTTCGACCGCCGATTGTGCTACTACCAACGACCGTAACAGTCCTTCGTCCCGGCCTTCCGAACGAGTTACTTCTTTCGGTCGTTCGATAAATACACCCAAACGTTTCAGAGATCTTGCTGACCCTGAAGAAACAAAGAAAAAGAAGACCAAAGCTCAAAATTCAGGACATCGGTAGCAGTTAGCACCCCTAGGCAATTATTTATATAATTCTACAAATACTTTTGTTGACGGTCTTTCGTCTTCATCCTGTTCTTCAGATATCGGTGTAGGGTCTCATTTTGTGTCAAATGTGTTGTCTTCCAATTTGATGATGCGCACCAGTTCTTGCAAGTTAGTAACGTGTTCCAGTGACGCAATGAACTCTGCTAACATTTCAACACTTGCTTCAAAATCGTTGTCGGATTCACTTGGACCAAACTCTGTAAAATTCTCTCACGTGGAGGTTGAACTCGCTTCTATTAACAAGTCTGATACAGCTGGAAGTCCGGTGTCGACGGATGCCTCATGTAATATTGATTT